GGAGAATGGGCCCAGGCCTGTGTCCTCCTCTCTGAATCCCTAAATATTCCAAACGTACAAGTTTCATACCAATGAAACTGAGCTGTAGACATCACACTGACGGGTTTCCCTGAGAACTTCCCTGAAGTAAATTATACTTTACCGAGCCTGAAGCTTTGGGTTCGATCCTTCTGATGCTGGGATGGAACCCAGGGATCAGGTAGGGCTGGCAGGCGCTCCTCAGCACTGAGCTACATCTCCAGCTCCAATTCGGAAAAATAAGTTTTTGAGGTGCTGGGGATCCAGCCCAGGGCAAGTACTCTACCACTGAGCTTCACCTCCAGATCGTTTTTTCATGTTTTTGTTTTATTTTTTTAACCTTGAGACATAGTCTCACTGAGTTCCCCAGGCTGGCTTCAAACTCTGGATCTTTGTGCTACAGCCTCCTAAGATACTGGAATTACAAGTGTGGGCCACTGTGTGCTCAGCTAAATGGTTTTTTTTTTTTTTTTTAATATTCTATTTCTTTTTCTTTTTCTTTTTTTTTTTTTTTTTGTCTTTTTGAGACAGGGTCTCTCTATGCAGTTCAGGCTGACCTTGAGCTCACTTTGTAGCCCAGGCTGGTCTCAAACTCACAAAGATCCTCCTGCCTCAGCCTCCTGAGTGCTGGGATCACAGGCCTAATATTTTGGTTTCTTGAGACAGACTCTTGCTATATCGTACAGGCTGGCTTTAAACTCGTGGTGATGTATTTGTGATAACGGGCTGGCCAAAGATTTTGCATGTAGATACCAAAAATACAAGCAATAAAAGAGAAGATAGACTGTATCAGGATTTGAAACACAGCAACTCAGTAGGCTGAGATGGAGGATTTAGCCAGGAGTTCCTGGACAGCCTGGGCAGCATAGCAAAGCTTTGTGGTTTTTTTTGTCTTTTTCATTTTTATCAGTACGAGGGATCAAACTCACGACTGCCTGCTTGCAAGGCAGGCGCTTACGCCGCTGAGCTAAACCCCCAGCCCCAAAGCTTTGTTTCAAAATAACAAATGCAGGGATGTGGGCATAACCACTGGTCAGTGACACCGGGATGGAGAGCTGTACCCTCGACCCTGGGCCTATATGGAAGGGCAGAGGTGAAGAACTCTTATTGACAGAATGCTTTACAGCTTCAGCCCACTTTTCACCACTTGGAAGTAGCTCATCATATCATTCCCATTTTACAGATCAGGAAATCAAGAAACTGGAGCAAGAGAAAGGTCTGGAGGAAGGGGTTATGACTTTACACAATTTTTCTGTCGTCCATGTTTCTTCATCTTTGAACCTACAAAGTAGGACTGGATAAGATCTAAGAGTGATTCTTTTCTGGTTTTTGTTTTATTGTGTTTTTTGAGATAAGATTTTACTATGTAACCCAAGCTGGCCGTGGATTTGCTGGGATCCTCCTGCCTCAGCCTCCTGAATACTGAGATTACAGGCCTAAACCAGGGTGACTCTTTGAAGCTGAGTTCAGCTGCTCAGGGCTGTTACTTTTCCCCACCCCCACCAACTCACCCTGCCTGGGTCCAGGCCCTGGTGGAGGTGGGGGGAGGAGGAACAGAGCCGCCTTGCAGGTCACTGGGCAAATGCTTGACTGCTTTCTGGAGCGCGTCCAAGTCTGCAAGGAGGATGTTAGGAAGAAATTTCCACGGCCCTTCCCCCAGCAAGGAGGGATTTTCCACTCTGCCTGGGCAGACAGGCCTCCCAGAGTCCCCAAAGGGGCTCTGGCAAGCCACAGGTCTTGCCAAATGGCTTGGCCAAATAGGGAGGGATGGAAGAGGTGATTGGGTCCTGGTCCTCCCAAAGTGGCAGTTTGCAGGGGAGACGCCTCTGATCTTAGAGACACATCAGGGGCCCCTTCCTAGAATGGGCTGGAGAGGAAAGGAGGGGCAGACAGGAGCTCCGGGTGGACCAGGAGAAGGTGACACTGTGGGCTGGCCCTGAGAAGGTCTCATTTGCTCAGTGACAGCTGGGTCCCCAGGAGAGGGCTGGGTGAAGCAAATCACACAGGACAGAGCACAGGCAGCCGCTGCAGGCTCAGCGCTGTGGCCTCTGCCTGGCTCTTCCTGTCCCACCTCAGTGCTTCCCCTGGGTGGCCCTGGGACCTTCAGCCGTAACTCCGCTGTCCCCTGTCCCTGGGGAAGCCCTCCCCACAGCGGCTCCCCGCCTCGAATTTCCTCTTCTCCTGAGCAGCACCAGACCTTGCCCACGGTGGTGGGGGTGCATTGCTGGGGCATTACTGGGCTCGCTGCCCCGACCAGGTGCCCAGGGCCTGGCAAACACTGTCAAGAGTGGTTGGATTTTGCACTTTGGAGTTCGGGGTAAAAAGGAAGCAGATTATGATTTTGCTTCTAAGCACTGACTCTCCGCAGTGCGAAGCGTTGGACAAACATGAGCTCTATCACTGATCTGAACGGCTCCGTGAGGGCGGTGGTACCTGCTCCCTAGACGAGGGAACCAAGGCCCAGTGTGGTGGTGAAGTTCTGGAGGACACACAGACAGGTTTTGAACATACACAGTTAGCTTCTAGGCTAGCACCCACCAATAGAAATCTACTGCAAGCCATATATGTTATTTAGAAATTTCCAGCATCCATATTAAAATGTAGGATGTGTTGGGCATAGCAGCACAGGCCTGTAAACTCAGCACTCTGGGAGGCTGAGGCAGGAAGATCTCAAATTACAACCCATTTTGGGTAATTTAGCAAGGCCTTAATCTCTTTTTTCCCCCTTAATCTGAAAATAAACACTAGAGCTGGATGCCGTGGTACATTCCGGTAATCCCAGCTGATGGGGGAAGATCACTGGGGGCAGAGCCCTGAGAGCCACATCGCAGGGGTGGCCTCTCACAAGGGGCCTCCTTGGGGCTTCCTGCAGCCTCCTGGCATTGGGGCAGGGGCAGGGAGGGGTGCTGCAGCTGCTCTCAGAATTTGAATGCCCAGAGACTCAGTACAGAGGATGGGAGCGCAGGGAACCTGGGCTAGTGGCCGGGTGGCCTCCCACCTCTGCTCCTCCAAACCGGCCGTTCTCAGCTGTAGCCAGGGGTAGGTGAGCAGCCTGCGTTCCATAACTCTGGGTGCAGAATGTGTGAGCCTAGCCCTAGCTCACCAAGTTCTTGCTGAGTGACTTTGAAGTCACACTGGGGCTGGCTGTAGCTCATCTAGCGTTCATGATGTCCTGGGGTCCATGCCCAGCACAAAAAATGTCAGATGCCCTCTTTGAACCTCAGTTTCCACCTCTGGAAAATGAAGACCCGTACTGGGATGCTGTGGCCAGGCACACACCATAATCCTAGCGTTTTGGGAGACAGAGGCAGGAGGATTGCAAGTTTGAGCCCAGCTCAGGCATCTTAGACCCTATTTCAAAAGGAAGAATGAAAGAAAGAAAGAAAGAAAGAAAGAAAGAAAGAAAGAAAGAAAGAAAGAAAGAAAAGAGAGAGAGAGAGAGAGAGAGAGAGAAAGGCTGGCGAGTGTAACTCAGTGCAAACGTGGGTTCAATCCCCAGTACTGAAAAAAACAAAAAATGTGAGACCCTGATGAGGTCCATAGAGAGCTCAGCTCAGCCAATCAAAGCATCAGTGCTCACCAGCTCTCCTCTCCTCCGCATAATTTCCCTGTGAAAACCAGGAGGAGGGTGTGTCAGAGTGAGCTGCAGGGGGTGTGAGCTAAGCCAGGTGTCTGGGGTTCCCTCCCAGGGTTCCCCTTGGCCCCTGCATGACACAGACCTGGTTAACCGGAGGCAGCCAGGATGGGGGCCCGCCACTCCCCGAGATGGGGAGGGTGACTCAGACTGAATCAGGCTCAGGTGAACTCACCCCTGTCCCCAGAATTCCTCGAAGGGACACTGGTACCCGTCTGGTAGCGGCGGTGCTGATCTGGACTCCAGGAAGCAGGGGGCGCTGGGAAAACCTGAGTGGAAGACACTGCGGGTCTGAGCCCCACTGCAGGCCAGGCCTGCGGGGATATCTTGATTTTTGCTGTTACTGTTTTGTTTTTTGTTTCTAATAACAGGGCCTCGCTATGTAGTGCAGGCTGACCTTGAACTCACAGCAATCCTCCTGCCTCAGCCTCCTCAGTACTGCGATCACAGGTGTGAGCCACAGTGCCAGGCTGGGCCTAGTATATCGAGTCCACACCCCACTTGAGCCAGGAACAATGAGACTAGGGGCTCAAACTTTGCCCAGTTCACTCTGCCATCCCCAGACCTTCCCTGGGCTGCACACCCCAGTGTGGGAGCTGAGGCAGCCCACGCAGCCTGCCTGCCAAGCCTGTGAGCTCCTGTCCCCTGCCCCGTCACTTCCTTCCTGCTCTGTAGCCCCTACTGGAATTAGGGCTCCTAGAGGTGGGGACAAGACTCTTGTTCACTGCCTTCTGCTCTACATCCTAGGTAGGGCGCTGATTCTGGCAGTAAGTGCTTAGTAGGTACTTGGTGTGATGACTCAAGACTTGGTGGGGAGCTGGGGTTGTGCCTTGTAGCCTCTGCTACTCAGAAAGCTGAGGCAGGAGTATCTGTATCTCTCTCTGTTTTCTGTTCGTTTGTTTTTCAGACAGGGTCTTGCTGTGTAGCCTAGGCTGGCTTCAAACTCACGATGTAGCCCAAATTGGCCCCAGCTTCCTGCGTGCCGGAGTTACAGGTGGGCTCTGCCACATCCATCTAGCAAGGGGATCTCTGGAGCCCGGAATTTGAGATTAGCCTGGGCCCATCTCAAATAATAACACAAGAAGCTCTGGGTGGGTTTTTCTTCTACCATGTGACCTTGTGACTTCAGGATGGAGGCCACAGGTCCAGTTAGCTGCTGGCCCCGTTCCCTGTCTCATTTCCCCTTTCACTGGTACAGGTGAGACTGAAGCCGTGAGGTCTGTGACCAACATGCCAGTCCACACCAAATTCCTCTGAAACTCACAGCAACCTTCCTGCCTCAGCCTCCTGAATGCTGGGTTTTCAGGCTTGTGTTACCATGCTTGGCTCCCTATATCTTTTACCATGCTTTGGTTTGGTGGTTGTTGTTATTGTTTTGGTACTGGGAATTGAATTCAGGGCTTTCACACTGAGCCGCATATGTCCCCCCCCCCATACACACATATCATTAAGTCACTATATTGACCAGGGTAGGATTGAATTTGAAATCCTCTTGCTTCAGCTTCCCAAAGTGACATTTTATCATTATGGTCATACTTCCCCAACTCCAGTTAGAGTGAGCTGGAGATCTTCGTCTCATGTCCCCCGAGAGCCTTTTTCCTGAGACAGCTCAGGCTGACAAGAATGGGGAGCTGCAATAGCCCACTCACTGGCCGAGCCAAGACACAAAGCCAGGGTCAGGTGTGAAGCCGCATCTCCCGGGTGCATGTGGGTCTCCAGGTCAGGCTGAGCCGGAAGTGTTCAGCCCCCGAGCCAGCCAGTTCCCTTCTCAGTCAGTGTAAACCAGTGTGAGTCAGGATTTCTGTCATTTGCATCAGCCAGGGTCTAACATGCACGTAGTGCACTTTCTTCACTGAAACTTCAGTTTCTTCATCTCGGGCGCAGCATGACGAGGACAGTGACAGTATTCTCCTGGAGAAAGGAAGGGTTGCTCCAGTGAGTCAAGGGCTGATCAGGGCCCAGCACTACATCCTGCTGCATATGATGGGTTCAAAAAACACCAGCTTATAGGCACCCTGAAGTGTTTGCTGACTATAGGACCAAGAGCTCTTGGGTAGAGACCAGGTTTATAGTGCACATGTGTGATCCCAGCACTTGGGAGGCTGAGGCAGGAGGATCACTGAATTCAAGCCCAGCCTGGCTAACACATAATACAACCACAAGATCTTCTGGGAGCTCAACCTCTTCCTATGGCTTTGTGGGATCTCTGAAACTGGGGAAAGGGGACCCCCACAGATAGCTGAACACTCTGCATGACCCATGCAGATGTCAGGTGGTGGCACCAAAAAAAGCTTTTGTAGGGGTCAGATCAGTTTACTGTTCGGGGGCTGAGGCTGGAACCCAGGGCTTCAACCCTGCCAGACTGTATCTCTGAGCCACCCTTGGGCCCAGGAGTGGTTTCCACAATCCTCACAATTTAATCGAACCCATTTTACAGATGACAAATGCGAGCCTCAGAAGCAAGGTTCAGGCAAAGGCCTTAGTGCAGTGCCCACCTCTGGCCCAGCCCCTCTGGGGTGTCGCCCCTCTGGCTGGTAGCCAGTCCAGCTCCAGACTTCCCGTGCGTGCTGCCTTCCTCGGGAACTTTGCCCAACTGACTCAGAGTCCCTCTCTGATCTCGGCAGTCAAGGCCGTCACCAGCTCCTCGCGGTTAACCCCAGAGAGAGCCTGACGCACTTTTGCTGAAGGAAACCGCCGAGTGTCACGCTCGCCACTTCCGGGCAGCAGGAGCCCGCCGGGCACCTCCTTCCTCCAGGTCCCCGCCAGCCGCTGCTGGGAACTGAGCTCCCCGCGGGCTTTTCCCACATCGCCACCCCGAGCCTGGCATCCTCACCTTTACCGTGAGGGTAAAGGTGGCAGTGCCCACCTACTTCAGGGTCGACCCTAGGGAATCGTGGAGAACGTTCCCGTGATGTGCAGCACAGAGACGGCACAAGGACACAGGCTTGCTACCCCTCCGCCCCAGGAAGCAGAAAGAGGGGACACGCGGGGGTGCACCCTCATGCAAGGCGGCGGGCAGAGCGGGGGCTCGAACCCGGAGCCAACCCCGCGGTGCGGCGCTGGGAAGGAAAGCCGTCGGCTCCCGCTCCACCCGCCCAGCTCCGCGCCTCCCAGCCCCACCTATCGAAGGACGTTCTGCCGGATGCCGCCCCCGCAACCCCAGGCCCCACTAATTCTCGGACGCGGCTCCCCCGCAGCCGGCGTGACCACCAGAAGGGGGCGGGGAGCCAAGTCACCCTAATCCCTTCGCAGGGTCTCACCCAGACGGCTTTCAGTTGGTCCCTTTTGACTGTGTAGGCGGGATCTCAACCTCAGTGGCCAATGGGAAGAGGGAGTGTCATTTGGTTGCCGTGGCAACAAAGGGCGGCAACGCCCCCCTTCCCACTCCACTGTTAGGTGGAAACTGCTCTTCCCGGGACCTGCAACACTGAGTCAGGCGTGGTGGCTTCAGTTAAACCTCAGGGTAGGAGGCGGGTTACACACTGAGGAACACCAAGGACCCAAACCTTTGACAAACAAACCGTGTAGAGGAGTCTCAGATTTCTGAGCTTTTAGAGAGGGCTGCTCAGAAGACGGGTATTAATCAAGGGGGGGGGGGTGTCCCCTCTTAGAAGGGACAGACAAGCCCAGTGTAAGGGTACAGGATGGATACAGCACCGTAGGGGCAGTCTTAGGTGACCCTGAGTTGCTTAGTAAGCAGATTAGGGCTCCCAAACCAGGACCCACCCAAGGCAGGGTGGGGATCAAGATGAGGCTGAATTGTGAGTCTCACACTGTCTTCAGTTCTGGACAAGGACAGAGAATCAAGGGTCACCAAGGCCGTCCACTTGCCCCTAGGCAGCTTGCACCCTGCCTTAGGTATGGTCACGTCCTGTGTTGGGTGTTTATTAACTTCAGACTCTTCCCAGGAAAGAGGAAGGTGACCAGGTTCATTCTGCCCATTTCACAGATGAGGAAATTGATACCTGCTTGGGAAAATATCTCACCCTTGGGCCCTGGGGCCTGGCACTGCACCCAACCCAGGCTGCTCTCATGGCCTTTAGTTCCCTGGTATGCTTGCTCCTCCAGTGGAGCCCTGTGCCACAGCCCTGACATTGTCCACTTTGCTGATGCTGCACGCTTCCCAGGTGGGTAAACCCATGGTTCAGGAGACAGGTGGGCTCTGAATGTGACATCCTCCTCCGTTGGTCCTGGGTGGGAGGTCAGATGATGGTTTTCCCCAGTGAGTCTCGGGCACAGCTCTGTTCCAGCTGAGAGGGCCATCCTGGTGCAGGATCTCCCTGGCTGGGCTGTGAGCAGAAATTCTGAAGGGCAGAGCCTTGTCTACCCATTTTGTCCCTGCCCTCAGTGAGGAGCCTGGCACACATGGGTCTCAGACAAATTTTCTTTCTGTCGGAATCATTTTGGACAATCCCACATGGAGCAGAGAGATCGATTTGAGAGGTTGGGAGTTCCAGCAAGGGCCATCAGGCTCCCTGTGGGTGACACTGAGGGGACTCAGGTATGGCAGAGCCGAGAGCATAAGGGGCCCTGAGCCTCAGCGCCATGAACAGGAACAGGAAGCCCAGCCCTGCTGCCCACCGACCATGCTGGGTCTGGGAGTGCCCCCTCTGGGAAGACAGATGTTCTGGTTTCTTTGTTTTTCATTTTTTGGTACCATGGATCAGACTCATGACCTTGTGCTTGCCAGGCAAGTGCTTGTGCCACTGAGCTAATCCCTCAGCCCAAGATACAGTGTTCTGGAAGCCCGCGAAGGCTGCATTACACGCCACACGCCTGCTCCACATTGTCCTGCTGTCCCTTTCCTCTGGGACCTTGCTTCCCACTCACCCCTCCTCAGCCAGTCCTGAAAGCTGGCCTCCCTTTGTTTCCCCTGGGAGCCAGCATCTCTGGGTCTTCACACTGGTTTCTGCCTTAGCCTTCTACTACGTGGAATATTAGTCTGCTTTCTATAAAACAGTGTCAAGTTGTTGTTGGTTTAACAAGGCCTTATTCATAGTGAGACCCTGTCTCAAGAAACAAAACAAAATAAAACAAAAAAACCACACAAGAAAATCAAAGGACAAAAAAAAAAAAAAAACCTGTCTTACAGTTGGCATGATAGCACATGCCCGTAATCCTAGAAACTCAGGAGGCTGAGACAAGAGGATCACCTCAAGATTGGGGCCAACCTGGGCTACGTAGTGAATCCAAGGCCAGCCTGAACTACATAGTGAAGCCCTACTTAAAAGACAAAAAACAATAATTGTCTTGCACACTACCAACTGGAAACTATCTTATTTGGTGGTTCGGGCAGTATTGCTGGGTATTACTTGCTGATAGTGGTGAGGCTGTAGCTCGGTGGCAGAGCACTGGCTTAGCATGGGCAAGGCCCTGGGTTCCATCCCTGGTACTGTAACATTGATGGCAGTGAGGACAGTGGCTTCCATTCGTAACAGATTTTATGCCTTTCCGCACATTCATGGTCTCACTTCATCAGGCCGATCCCTGCAGTACGGGCATCTCTGGTCTCCTTGGACTGACTGCGGACACTGAGGCAAAGTAGCAGTGACTTGCCTGGGCTGCGACCTGATTCGAGGCCCTGGTGACCTGGATACAGAGGAAATCGGCGCCCTCCTGCCACTGGGCAGCCCTGTGAGAGCGGCAGGATGGAAACAGCACGGGGAGTTTGCCCTGGACGTGAGGAAGGACTTCCTGTAAGAAGTGTTTAGCCATCAGAATAAGTGTCAGGGAAGGGTGTGGAGCGCTGGCTTCCGAAGTCCTCAGAACAAAACACAGCCTTGCCCAGCCGGGATCACGCAGCGCTGCCCAAGGCATGGCACCGACTGTGTGACCTTGGAGGCTCCTCTTGCCACCAAGATCAGCATACCCTGATGTGAGGTGGCCAACCTGGCCACTTCCAGGGCCAGCGGGAGCGGGGCAGGATGTGGAGCCTCCATGAGGAGACTGTCTGGGCCCCTGACGTGGGGGGGGGGCACCCCAAAACTCAAACAGCAGGGCTGTATTTTTTTGTGTGTCTTTTTCCTTTTTATCGGTACCAGGGATCAAACTCACGACTGCCTGCTTGCAAGGCAGGCGCTTATGAGCTAAAACCCCAGCCCCAGCAGGGCTGGATTTAACTCAGTAGCAGAACATTTCTCTAGCATACGTGAGGGCCTGCATTCAGGTCTCAACACTGCAAAACAAAGATCAAGTAATAAAAAAGTATAAAAATGAAAGTAAAAAGTATCCAAAATTCTATTATCTATAAAAATAAGAGTTGTTTCTGGAGCATATTTTCTCTTTTTTTGCTTGTGGTAAAATATGCTTAGTATAAAATTTATCCTCAGAACCTTTACATGTACACAAATTCTGTTTTTCTAAAGATTTCTCAAAGGCAGAGCTAGCAGTGCGAGCTATTCTGGGAAGAGCCTTGTGACACTGCTCACGTGGGCAGGCAGGGTAGCTGGCAGCTCTGTGTGGCGTGAGGTGGGCCATGTTGGCGTTCAGGGCTGAGGGCAGCTCCAGTCGGGGGGATGAAGGGAAGGCGACCGAGGGGTGTGGGGTGGGGTGGGGGGGGGTGGGCCAGGGGTCTGATTTGCTAAGGTTTCTCCAAGTCTGTCTGTGGCTCAGGAAGTGAGCAGGAGCTGAAGCTGAGAGCCAGCGGGCACCTGTGTGTGTGTGTGTGCACGCGCACACACGCACACACATGCATGGCCCTTGGCAGGAAGCCCGGGCAGCACCTTGCCAAGCTGCTCTACTGCCAACCTCCTGGCTTGTGTTTTCTCCAGCCCCAAGGAGGGCAGGGAGGGCAGAGACAACTTCCAGCCCCGAGTGACGGTTTCACAGGGTGGTTCAGCGAAGACTCCAGTCCCAGAACCATAGGCATCGAGTTAGCAGATGGCTCATGCTGGTTTGAAAGGAGCCTGAATTCAAGGAGTCCACGGGCTGGCCATGCCCCTGGTCCTGTGTGTGCACTGTTCCTCCTTTATTGATTGATTGATTGATTGATTGAGACAGGGTCTCACTATGCAGTTCAGGCTGGCCTTGAGCTTACTTTTTAGCCCAGGCTGGTCTTGCCTCTTGCCTCTGCCTCCCAGGTGCTGGGATTACAGGCGTACAGGCATTTTTTTTTTTTGGAGACAAGATCTTACTGTGTAGTTCAAGCTGGTCTTGAATTCACTATGCAGCCCAGGATGGCCTTGAACTCTGAGCCATCCTCCTGCCTCAGTCTCCTGGGTGCTGGGTCTACAACCAGGTGCCAGCATACCTGGCTTCCAGACCCTTTTAAATTTATTTTAAGACAAAGATCTTAAATTACTCAATTCGCTACTGGACTTGAACTCACAATCCTCCTGCCTCAGCCTTCCAAAGTGCTAGGTTGACAGGCACGCCCCTATAATACACCGGGCTTGCTGTATGATCTTTGAAAGCAGCCAACAGTGCCCTCACCAAAGGGGTTTGGAGAATGCAGTTTGGGGGCCTGAAGCGCGGCTGGCTGGGGAGAAGCAAATGCAGCGGCCAGCGCCTCTGCACCTTAATCCCAGCGCCTGGGCGGGGAGGCAGGCATCGTCAGGAGTTCGAGGGCAGCAACACCGCGTCGCAAAGGCACAAAAACCGAAAACAAACAATGCGGAGTCCTGGAGTCCTGGAGGGAACGGGGCTGGGCCGTGCTGGGGCGGAGAGACTTCTTGGGGTGTTGGTCGAGCCCCGGAAAGTCAGCGGGAGGCGACTCCAGGTGTGCCCCCCACACCAGGCGCGAGGCGCAGGGCTCGGGTTACAGTCACTGCTGCCACCTCTTCCAAGAGGCTGGCTTTTGAGAAATCTGCGGGCTCTGGAAGCACGCTGTGTGCTTGCTGGGGAGCCGGGGGCTACGCCTCTGCGTACAGCGTGTCCCCGCTCTGTCCTCACGCAGGCGTCAGGTGCCGCTGAGGTCAGCGGAGCCCGGGCCGCCCGCGCCTGCGGTCAGCACAGCTGTCCCCACCGCCGCCTGGGTGCACAGGCGCCAGCCAGCAGGCCCGGCCTACGTGCGCTCTTCCCTCTGACGTCGGCTGGTCACTGGTCATTTGCTGCTGTGTGACCCTCGGGAACTCACTTGGCCTCTGGGGATCGGCGTCTCACTGCAAAGCAGGGTAACGATGACCTCTAGGCGTGACTGTATTTAGCTTGTCCTGGGGTCTCCGCCGGTTGGGACAGGGCAGTGGGGTGCTCTGTCCCCAGCGCTCAGGGGAGTTCACTAGGGGCAGGAAAGTCTGGTTCTCCAGCCCCACGCCCTGCCGTCAGACTGGCCTGGCTGTGGGAATTTGGGTGAGAATAGGACCTCCATTTCCCAGTCAGGGAAATGGGTCTGAGACCACCAGGCCCACTGCCAGGCCCTGAGGGCTCTGCTGGTACTTTGCAGTTCCGTCTGCCCTGGCCCTGGCTACAGGGGTCTGGGAACAAAGGCGAAATCCCAAGGGGCAGTTTCAGCGACTTCCCAGCTTCCCCTGGGCCCCTGGCTGGCTCTCAGGCCCAGATCAGCTCCAGTGTGGAGCTGCACTTGGATCTAGGGCCACAATGCCAGATCTGCCACCCTGGGTCCTTGCCCAAGTGATCCCCGTCCTTTTTCCAGTACCCGGGGCTTTCACACCGAGCCTCAGCCTCAGCTTCCTTTTTATGTCTGATTTTTGGTCTCACTAAGTTGCTAAACTGCCCAGGCTGAGCTTGAATTTGGGATCCTCCTGTCTCAGTCTCCCAGAGTGCTGGATTACAGGGGCACACCCCACACCTGCTTTCCCCTGTTCCCCTGTTGCACCCCTTCCCTTCCGTGCAGCCTCTCTTCCCAGCTCCGCCAGGCCCTGCCAGCACGGCCCTTGCTGTCTGCCCTCCTCAGCAAGGTGTGCCTTCGCTATGGCCAGCAGCCCGCGCGGTGTCTCTACCCTGTGCGACAGAAGCAGCTGCAGCAGGAGGGAAACATGGGATCGGAGGCTGAGACAGTCCACACGGGGCCCAGGCTCCCTGAGCGGGGCGGGTGGCTGTGCTCAGGCTCCTGTGTTTATCGCTAGCGTTGGGGGCACATCCTGGGGTGGCTGGCACTGAGTGGCAATGCTGTGCTCCTTTTCCTACTTGGGGGACTTTCCAAACCCCAGCCACCACGAGAGGCCACATGTCATCATCTGTCATCTTGAGGGAACCATGGCCAACTGGTTCCCAGCTTTGGGAGCCCCGGGCAAGAGTAGCATGGAGCCCCCACACAGTGCATCCGAATATTCAAAGCATGCACCTCGGCCTGGAGTTGTCACACGAACTCAGCTTCCCCTTCTCCCTCCAGACTCTTTCCGAATCACCTGGACAGCCAGGTTTGAATCTGGGGTTCTCAGTCTCTCTGGAACATGTGGTCAGGGACACGTGGGCTGGTGTGACATGTGACATGGCATCTCAGGGATCGGGCTATTTGATCACAGATTCAATCTGATCATTACTTTCCTTTTCTTCTCTTCTTCTTTTTCCTCCTCCTCTTCCTCTTCTTCTTGCTGGGTGTGGCAGTGCATGCCTGTAATTCTAGTCCTTGGAAAGCTGAGGCTGGAGAATTGCCATGAGTTCAAGGCCAGCCTGGGCTATCTAGTGAAATAGCATGACCCTGTCACAAAAAGGGCTGGGAATATAGCTCAGTGGCACAGAGCCTGCTGGAAAAACATGAAGTCCTAATTTGATTCTTGGTACTCAGAAAAAAAAAAAGTGAGGGAGAGAGAGAGACCCTCATGTCAGTCCCTAGGCTGCCGAAACTGAGCAACTTACTTTAATCTCTTTGAGGCTCAATTTCCCATCTAAACACTGGGCTAATGACACTTTCTTGGTAAGTTATTACTAAAAGAGATGAGAGATAAAGCCCTTGACCTTGTCCTGGAAGAGGCAGTGCTCAGGGAGTCGGGAACTATGATTGCTAATAACTTCTCCCCACACAGGCGACACTGGAGCAGGAAGTCGTCTGCCTTCTCTGCCTGCTGGCTGCACGCACGGCTGAACACACTGCGTGGCCGAGCAGCAGGGGATGTGGAGGGAGCTCTTGCAGCCCTCCCGTGGGCTTGGGTATTGCTCCAGAGATAAACAAGCAAACGAACAAATGACTGTGATTCCAGCACTTGGGAGGCTGAGACAGGAGGATCACCACCAGTTTGAGGCCAGCCTAGGCTACATATTGGTAGCCTTTCCCACCCCACCCTCAACAAAAGAAATGAAAATTGAAAATGGTACAACGACGTGAATGAACTTAATGTCACCAAACTGTGCGCTATGAAAATGGCTAAAATAAACCAGGTATGGTAGCTCACGCCTGTAATCCCAGCCCTTGGGAGGCTGAGGTGGGAGGATTGTTGCGAGTTCGAGACCAGCCTGGGCTACAAAGTGAGCTCAAGGCCAACCTGAACTGCATAGTGAGACCCCGAATCAAAACACACACACACACACACACACACACACACACACACACACACGACTAAAATAGTGTGCTTTATGTTATCTGTGTTTTACCACTATGTTGGTTTTCCAGGGTTGACACAAATTACCACAAATCTGGTGTCTTAAGCAACAGAAGTGTATTGTCTCAAGATCCTGGAGGTAAGAAGGCTAAGGGAAAAGTGTTGGTAGCACTGGCTCCTTCCAGAGGCTTCCAGAGAGCGCCTGTGCCTTTAGCCTACCTCTGGTGGCTTGCCATCGACTTGGAACTTTTTTTTTTTTGTCTTTTTGAGGCAGGGTGCCTGGGGTCAGCCCAAAGTCTCCAGCATGTTAGGCCCACTCCTGCCACTGAGCTGCAGCCTCCGTCCTGTTTTCGTCTGTGGCTGCCAGGAACTGAGGACACAGTCTTCTTGCAGTGCACGCTGGGGCAGAGTCACTCCTGGAATCCCTTTTATTCAGAAACAGTGTCCTCTCTAGAAGGACCTGCAAAGAGACCTGCTAAGACCAGCCTGGGCCCGCCCACCACAGGTGCCACCAGCCTGAAGCGCAGCGCAGAGGAGAGGACGGGAACTTGGCCCTTGATCAGGCTGAGACTCCCCAACTGTGTGCAGAGTTGCCGCCTCCAAACTGGCTGCATTCCAGTCTGGTCTGGCTGTTGCTGCTACCATTGTCCTGGGCTCTTTCTGGGGTGTGGCAGTCTGTGCCACGGCAGGGCAGATGTCCCAGCCACCCAAAGGCCGGCTGCACATGACGCCGAGGCCAAGGTGATCTCACTGTGAGCTCCCCTGACTTTGGAGAAAATTTGTTTCCTCCCCTCCCTTCCCTGTGAATCCAGGGGTCAGGATTGGGCCTTGGGATTTTCAAAGCATTGCCGAGGTGAGAACAGCATTGATCAGTAAAACTGAACAGCTCAAAAAGCCTCTTTCCTCCTCCAGCCTGGCTGCAAGTTCAAGCCAGTGTATTCCTGGCCAGAAGCCAGCCAGGGGTCAGATAAAGTTCCGACCTATTTTGTAGCAGGCCTGACACTTTGCCCAGTGCCCTGGGCCTGTGACCGCTGCCAGGATAGTGTGTTGGGAAAGCTGGCCCAGAAGGAGCTGGTTTAGAGAGATTCGAAAGAGCTGACGATAACAAATCAGGGAGCTCCATGACATGTGGTTCTTAAAGCCCTCTGAACTGTGTGTCCTGGGCCAGTGAGGCCTTGTAGTCTGTCCCCTGGAAGTCACCCCACTGCAGTGCTACTGCCCAGCGTATCAGGGACCAGGATGTGTACCCCTAGTTTATCTTTAGGAAGACAAGGAAACATGGAACACGGCCACTTGAACACATGTTACATGTGTTATCTACTTCAGTTCTCACAGTAGCCAATGAGGAAGGTGTCAAAGCCAGAGTAGGGGCTGAGGGTTTAGCTCAGCGGCATAAGTGCCTGCTTGGCAAACGGGAGGTTGTGAGTTTGATCTCCTGCATAAAAAAAAAAAGCCTGAGTAGCCGGCACACACAGGCAGCAGACAAATGGAACAGTAAGAGCCTGTGTATGTGTGTGGCTCTGGGGATCGAACCCAGGGCTTTGCACTGAGCTATCTCCACAGCAAATTTTTATGTGTGTTTTGATAGGATCTCGTTCCATTGCTCAGGCTGGGCTCAAACTCACAGTGATCCTCCTGCCTCAGCCAGTTAGCCATGGACCACTGCCCCTGGCTAGGACCTCTTCTAAACTCTGTCCATGCATTCACCAATTTACTGGGGAATTTGAGGCACAGGGATGATGGGTCTGAGACCACCTGAAGCTGGGTGGCTTCCAAAGAACATTTCATGACTTCCAGATGACGGGCGAGGGACAGAGACTCGGCAGAGGTTGCTTCAAGTGAGGGGACGTTTGCACTCTTCTGTGCTTCCTGAGGAACAGAATGAGAGGCCCCCAAGGGACAGAAGCCCAGACATGTGACCTGCACCCCTGCCTGCTCTTCCTTCCTCTGCCCGGGCCCAGCTGCCCTGCGTGTCGCAGCCGGTTGGTCTCTGGGGGCTGCTATGGGGCAGATGGCGGGCAATGGGGCAGAGGTCTTGACACAGGGCCACAGTGCCACAGAGCCTTCACCACACCTCAGCATCCCATGGGCAGGGAAAGCGTCCTGTGGCCCTGTGCCACCTGGCCTGTGTCCTCAGAAGTGAGTCAGCGGGGGTCCCAACCTGCAGGAGACCAGACTTCCAGTCACATTCTGGTTCTGCTAATAGCCCATGGCCACCTGTGGGGACATCACCTGGCCGGAGTGGGGGAAGACTGCTGGTATCAGTGCGGTCACCTTTGTGTTCTACTGGCTCTTTTTTTTTGTCTGTCCCCCAGTGCCTGTGTCCTGTTATAATTCATAGCCCTTTTATAATCTTTACTTTGAGACAGAGTTCCACAAAGTCGCTAAATTGCCCAGGCTGGGCCTGAACTTGTGGTGACCCCCTGCCTCTGCCTCCCGGGGATCACAGGTGCGTGCCACCATGCCCGGCTCAGGTTCCGCTGTCTTCACCGGCACCAGGTGTGAGCGTTGCCACCAGGCGTCCCGGCATGCTCGCAGGCAGCCCCTCGGCAGCTGAGGAGGTAGAAGTGCCCCGCTCTGCCTGAGCTCTGGCTGCAGCTCCAGCTTGGGGCAGGGCTCGGGCAGCTCAGAGGCTTCCGGAGGAGCCGGCTGGAGGGCAGGCTCCTCACGCACAGCCGGCCGGGAAATGCCTGCATCCTACTCCTGGGGCTGGCTACACTTTTCTGCTCTTTCTTTTTTTGATGCTGGGGTGGAAGCTACTTATTTGTTGTTTATATCTTTCTTTCATGGTGCTGAGGATTGAACCTGAGGCCTCATACATGCTAGGCAAATGCACACGCCTGCCTTGCAAGCACGAGGTTGTGAGTTTGATCCCTGGTACCGATTAAAAAAAAAGAAGGGGCTGGGGATTTAGCTCAGTGGCATAAGCGCCTGCCTTGCTAGGCAAATGCACATTTTGAGACACTGCCTCAAAAAAAAAAAAAAAACAAAAACAAACAAAAACCTATAAACAAGATAAAAACAAAGAGACCACAGTAACTTATAGGACAACAACTTTCTCTCTCTCTCTCTCTCTTTTTTTTTTTTTTTGTCTTTTTCCTTTTTATTGGTACCGGGGATTGAACTCACGACTGCCTGCTTTCAAAGCTGGCGCTTATGCCGCTAAACTAAACCCTCAGCCCCCAACTTTCTCTCTTTACTTCTGAGGCCAGCAGGAGCACATGGTTCCTTAATATCCCATGGCAGGGCTGGGCATGGTAGTGCATTCCTGTAATTTCAGCACCTGGGAGGCTGAGGCAGGAGGATCATCACAATTTTTTTTTTTTTTTGTCTTTTTGAGACAGGGTATCACTATGCAGTTCAGGCTGGTCTTGAGCTCACTTTGTAGCCCAGGCCAGTCTCGATCCTCCTGCCTCAGCCTCCTGAGTGCTGGGATTACAGACATGAGCCACCACGCCTGGTGGATCATCACAAATTTAAGACCACGCTGAGCTATATAGTGACTTCAAGACCTGACTGAACTACATAGACAGATCCTGTTTAAAAAAAAAAAAAGTCTCATGGCAGAGTCAAACCATCGTTTCTAGGATGGTCCAGTCCCCGTGGACATACAGGCTGCTTTGGTAATCCCCTGTCCTCCCTTCCTTCTGGTTGTCCGTGAGGATCCACTGAGCATGCACTGTGCCCTGGCACTGGCAGGGGCTTGGCAGCAGGCGAGAAGACCTCTCCCTCCTTGGCCCCCCAGTCAGGTGGGGAAAGTGCCAATTCCCTTTAATTCCAAGAGCCTGGGAGCAGCTCTGAGTAGGGTCACAGGGTCCATTCTAGACGGGGAGTCTTGGGAAGATATTTGCCCTGGTGATGGTGAAAAGTTGAAGGTTAAGGGGAAAAAGTATCCAGGTTGGAGGCCACAGCAGGCGCAGGGGCCCAGAGTGTGAACTCGGCAAGTGTGAGAGAGCTGAGACTTCTCTGCCCCGCAGTACAGGGGTGCAGCTAGGGGTACAGTTGGCAGTGGGGCTACTTGGCAGGGTGGGACCAGGGTAAGACTGCAGAGTCAAGGCTTGGACCTGATTCTGTAGGCAACGGGGAGTGAGCTACTCACATCGGCGGTTTAGAAACAGTAGTCCTGGCACTAGGGAGGCTGAGGCAGAAGGATCATAAGGAATTCAAGGCAGGTTGGGCTCCACAGTGAGATTAAGGCCAGACTGGACTACATAGTAAGACCCCGTCTCAAACAACACAAGCAAAACAAATAAATCACAACAGAACTAGGTCGCCCACGTGCCAGAGCCTCGGTTTGGTCCCCAGCACCACAAGAAACAAAACAAACTGAAGCTCCAGCCTGGAGAAGCCCCAGAGGAATACTTATGCCAAGAAATCTCTGTTTCAAATGGAAACTTATTTATTGAGAGTTCAAAATCCACCCCACCCTGCCACTGTGCTTCTGAATGTTAGGGCCAGGCAGAATGTTTTGTTACAGCCCACAAAAACACTGCCCAGAGAGGCCTGGTGTTTTTTTTTTTTTTTGTATGAAACATCAAACCCACACCAAAGGCGGTCACTCAAAACCCCAAATGTCAGCCTTTAACTGCAGCCCCTAAATTGCCTTGGTGGGATTTGAATTTGTAATCCTCCTGCCTCAGCCTACCCAAGCACAGAGATTGCCGGCGCAGAATTCACCAGCCCTGGCTGCCCCTGGGCTCCACCCAACCTCTTTTAGCTCCAGCAAGTCCCTCAGGAGTCCGCTGAAAGTTGCTGAGTGCTCATAATAAAGCAGCCAGAAGTTTCCTGCCTCGCTGGCTTACTCAATTTCCCTCATTTGTCTGCACGGTCCAGACGGAGCAAAGGGCAACCA